TGATATAAGTTAAGTTTTATGGAATGGTACTTTGATGATATGTATGGAAAACTTTCAGAAACTAAGAAATCCTTATTATAAGATATCAATAACAATATCTAAAAAAAATTTATTGTTTATAAACAAGCCCATGACACTGCTGAAGGATCTGTCCCATCTGGGGCAGCCACAGTTTCTCATGGGGAAACAGTTGCCAGCGTTGAAGTACCGACACATGTATCTAGACCAAATGCTTTTCAGTAACATTTGATGTCTATGGATTCGGTTGTAAAAAACTGATATTGAAAGCTATATAAAAGATAAACGTATAAGTTTTAATGAAAAGGTTAAAGATAAGTTTGACATTCTATGTTGGTGGAAACATAATGTTGGTAAATACCCAGTTCTATCCCAAATAGTTAGAGATATCATGCCTACGCCAGTTTCAACCATGGCTTCTGAGAGTGCTTTTAGCACGAGTGGGAGAGTGTTAGAGGTATATAGAATCTCCCTAAAACCAGAAATGGCAGAGGCTCTAATTTGTGCTCAGAATTGGTTGAGGCTTTCTTTTTACCAATTCAAAGACTTGGAATTCATTTAGGAGTGTGAGATATTCCAAGATGCTTTAGAAGGTACTATTTCTTTCATTATTAAGTGTTATTTTTATGTTTGTTTTGTAACGTATTTCTAATTGTTTTTTAAAATGTCTATAGGATTTACTTAAACTTCAGTTGGATGTGGAACATGGCTTTGACTACACTGAGACATTCTCCTCTGTGATAAAACCTACTACTATCAGAGTTATATTAACACATGCTATTAATTTTCAATGGGAGATTCAGCAGATTGATATTAATAATGCTTTTGTGAATGGCAATCTACATGATGAATTCTACATGATCCAACCTCCAGGCTTTGTGAGTGCTAACAAAAATATGGTTTGTAGAATGAACAAGGCAATCTATGGCCTTAAACAAGCCCAACTTGTTTGGTATGAAAATTTAACCCAAGCATTACTTCATTTTGGGTTTACTACCTCCAAATGTGACAACTCCCTCTTTGTATATTGCGAACAAGGCATCACTATGTATGCACTTGTATATGTGGATTATATACTTATTACAGGTTTAAGCTCCTCTCTTGTTCATGATCTGATCAACAAACTTCACACTACTTTTGCACTGAAAAAGCTTAGTAAACCTAAATATTTTCTAGGCATTGAGGTAACTTTTTGCAAGAATGGATCCATGCTTTTAACTTAGTCCAAATATATTCAAGATCTTTTGTCAAAGGAAAAGATGACTGCTGCTAATGGTGTCCCCACGCCTATGATAAGTACATGTAAACTTAGTAAGCATGGTACTAACCACATGGTTGATCCACATCTATATCGTTCCATTGTTGGTGCTCTTCAATATATAACTCTAACAAGACCCAATATTTCATATGGTGTGAACAAGGCCTGTCAGTTTATGGCATTCCCTCTTGATACTCATTTGGCTGCTGTCAAAAGACTCCTTTGATATCTCAGTGGTACATCAAGGTATGGTTTAATATTGTTTTCCTCTAATGCTCCCTCTAAATTCTCACTGCGTGCATATAGTGATTCAGACTAGGCCAGTGACATAGAAGATATACGTCTACGTCCGACTCCTGCATCTATTTTGGTCCTAACTTAGTGGCCCAGAGCTCTAAAAAGCAGTCACTTGTTGCTCGTTCTAGCACAGAGGCAGAATACAGGGCATTGACGCATTCCACCTCAGAATTATTATGGCTTGAAGCTTTTCTATCTGAGCTTAAAATACCGTTTCACACTCCGATGCTTCTTTGCGATAATCTTACTGTTGTTTTGTTATCGCATAATCTGGTGCTTCATGCTCGCACAAAACATTTTGAGCTTGATATACATTTTTTTCGTGAAAGGGTTATGGTTGGCCGTATGTATATTCAACATGTCCCAACTGCTATGCAAATTATTGACACTCTTACCAAGCCCTTAGGCACGACTGTGTTTTAGGACTTAAGGAGCAAACTGAAGGTTGTTAATTCTGCTCACTATCCTTCAGCTTGAGGGGGGTGTTAGAATATAGTTTAGTAGTGGGTTAAGTTTGTTAACCAAATGGTTAACACTTAGGTCCAATAGTTAGTTTCAATTAAGCCCATTTATGAGTTTACTTATATGGCTTGTATATATGTTATCTGCAGAGTTACATTGAATATGATGATGAATAATATATTGTAACCACATATCTCTATACTTTCATATCTTTCTAACTGAATCAAAGATTCAAAGATGAATAGCATTCTTCATCTTCAATACTGGCACATTAACAATCTCTTAAGGGTGTCTGCTTGTGCTGCTAAATTTGCTAATGGGGATGCCAAATACTCTGCTAATGTTATAGAAACTCTGACAGCTTTGATATCAGTGTTTACAACTGATGCTAATAGTGTCTTATGATCTTCTACATCAACACATGATCCAGTTAATGATCAAATAATATTGAATTATTTTAAGCTTTACATTATAATTTTAGAGCCTTTAGATAATAATCTTATTTAAATTATATTACTCTTATTTTGCAGGTCATGAATGATGATATCAATAAAGATTTTCAATCATTCGAAGATGAAGAGATGCAAATGTAAATATGCATAGATGTTTAAGTGTACTTTTATAAATTAAATATGTTATTTTAATTATGAATGATGATTGACTTTATAATAGATAATTTAAAGGTATTTTTTTATTATGAATCAATTATTGACATTAAGATATAGATATATATATATATATATATATATATATATATATATATATATATATATATATATATATATATATATATATATATATATATATATATATATATATATATATAATTGATAATTTTATGCAACGGTGTTGTTGTAGTATAGAAAGCGTTGTTGTAACTTTAGAAGAAGAAATTAAAATATGTATCTATTAGAACGGTTTCAAATATACTACAGTTAAAAACCGTTGTACAATTCCATAAAACAGTCGTTCCAAAAAATAATCCAATTACAACGGTTTTTATTTTAAAATAGAGTGCAGTCGTTGCTGTTAGAAATCATTTTCTAAAGTAGACGACAACAACAATTAAGTACAAGGTGTTGCTGTTGATTAAAACATTGCTCCGAAACTCATTCCCATAACTAAAGGTAACAGTTGTTTTAAATTTCGCAACGCTTTTCATGCGTTGTTGTATAACAAAAATATTGTATTGATTCTCGAGATTTATATTGGTCTTTTAACTTAAAAAAAAAATCATATTAGTCATTGCCTATTCAAAATGTATTGGGCATACTTAACGATGAAATTAGCTATAATAATTGAATTTTTCTATCATTAATTGGACAAAAAAAAAACTAACATAATACATTTTGAAGAATTAAGAAAATAATATGAACATTTTATAAGTTAAAGAAGCAAAATAAACTCTAAATTTAAACCAAAAAATTAGAAAATACATAACAAATATTCTTCAATGCTACATAAAAAAATATACATAACAAGTATTTGATAAAAATAAATATTTAGAATTAAATCCTTTTCCAAATTAACATGTTTCACTTGACTATGTCTATAAAATAAATATATAAATCATGTCTCTTAATTATAATAGTTATAATAAAAAATAAAAAATAAATATTTATCAATAATAATTATAATAAAATGAGACAGATCTTTGTGTCTTAGATATATAAATCATGTGACATATATATTTTCTTTATCACAGATATATAAAAATGTGCAAAACAAATACTTGTTACATATTAATATGAAAGAGCTCAAAATAAATATTTGTCACTTAAGAAAAATAAGGGACAAATTATAATTAGTGATAAATATACAAATAATTTGCTCCTCATACAATTAAAATTCACTCGATACATTCTTTGCATCAAAATAATTTTCATAACAAATACTTGTAAACTATGAATATAAAAAACATACGACACGTATTCTTTATTGATAACTAGCTTTCAAACGGGTACAAAGTGTCTATTTGTTCGCTTTTTAATGTGCACAATATTAAAACACAACCTTATGCCGAGTTCAGCTATTTGTATGCATTTTAATTTTTTATATTGAGGAGAGCATGTCTCTATATTATATCGCAAATTTTCTTTCATTATATGTAATGTAACCACCCTTTCTTTCAAAATATAAAAAAGAGAAAAAATATAAGTCTCATCGGTATAAAATAATTTTACATTATCAATTAATTAGTACTATGTATTCTGCAAAATCACTTTAATATTTTTATGTTAGTTGTGTGACATAACTAATTAGTGAATTTTCATTGAATAACACTATAAAACTATTTTACATTGTCAACACTACTTTTATTCTCTATAAAACATTTCAAATAAAAAATTTAAAAATATTCAATTTCATCAAAAAAAATCTAAATGAAAATAATTATATTTTGAAAAGAAAAGAAAAAAGCAAAATTGAAAATTTGAAGAGCGAGAGAAAAAAATTGTTTATCTATACAAGATAAATATGAAAATCACTCTCTATAATCAAACATGCAACAGTATACTGCTATCAATTAAAAGAAAAAAGTGGAACACAAAGGAGAAGAGAGACTAGGCCAAGACATTCTCAAAAATTAATAAATCTGAAAATAAACTCATCACCAATCTATTTTTTACAAAATCACATCTAATAGTTAAGGGGATGGTATCAAAAAGAGTGAGAGAATAAGTTATACGGCCTGATTTAGCGGAAAAATTAGCACAAGAATTATCTTTTCTGGAAATATGCGTAATGACAAAAGACACATTTTATATAGTATTTTTACAATTTAACCACCTATTCCTAAGCTGTCAAGGGACCAAAGTATCTTTTGAAAAAATTTGGACCACAATAGAAGAGTCACATTCAATCCAAAGCTTCGACCATGCTCTATCTCTAGCAAGCTCAATGGCTCTGAAAACCGCAGAGAATTCTGCATGTAAGGAATTAGGATCCAATGTGGGCTCGGTAAAAGCTAATAAAAAATTTCCAATAGAATTTCGAAAGATGTCACCACATCCACTAGAATTGTTCTCAAAAGAACCGTCACAGTGTTATTATCAATCAAAACGACTTGTGCAATAATGTCGAAGATGCTAGACATGATATGGGGAGATTTGTTGATAAATATATAAATGTTTGCCGATTGTTCCTCCATAACACATTTATCCAACAGAATTTTCATTCTATTAGCTAGAACTTTCGACACAATTTTATACACCATATTACATAATGATATGGGTCTGTAATCCTTCATATTTTGTGGTTTATTATTTTTAGGAATCAAGCAAATATTTATGTCGGTAATCGACTGTGGGAAATATCCTCTCGTTAACCATTTTGTAGCAGTCTGCCAGATATCATCCCCACAAAGCTCCCAAAAGTTCTGATAAATAACGGGGTTGAACCTGTCGGATCTTGGAGATTTATTCGGATACATATCACAAAGAGCCGCATGAAATTCATCCTCGAAAACTGGACGAAGAAGTCTACGGTTATCTTTTGTAGAAACTATCGGCTGGATAAGAGATAGCATTGGTTCGTGATTATTCCAAGTTGTTGTGAATAAACCTTCAAAGTACTTCCTAGCTATTCTACACAGCCCCTTGTGCTCTCTAATTTCCATACACTCTTCACTTCTTAGCATATCAATTTGCTTAAATTTCCTCCTTACTGACGCCGATTGGTGGAAGAAACGAGTATTAGGATCTCCTTCTCACAACCAATGCATCTTCGCTATCTGCTGTTAGTATCATACTCACTTTGTGCTTCCAGCCACTAGTAACAACCTCTTCAATGCCTTCCTCCTTTAGCCAATAATTCTCAAAATGAAAAACATGATTTTTAAAATAATATAACCTTTAATATAACAATAATATTGGGAGAAAAAAAAAGTTGCAAAAGCACGGATACTTACTTCGTTAAAATGAAACAACATTTCTAAAAAGCTAGTTGACCACGTGAGTATATAAATGTAAGTGGTCATTGAAAAACTGCACTACATAGGTTTGTTTTGTTACAAATACTAGTGGTGTTGGTGGTAGGAATTTAAGGAAATGTCACTTTCTAGTAGATAACCTCACATGGCCAAAACATACTTTGTGAATTATTGTTTGATATTACTATTATTAGAGGGTAATTTAGTATTTTGTTATTTGTAGATAAGTTTTAATTAGGGCCTATGTGGCATCTTTATTTGTGTATAAATAGGTGTACTAGGATTACATTTATATCAATCAATTCTCCAATCATTTGTAGTCAGCCTTTATTGCATTTATTCCCTTTCATCTTCTTCCTCAAATTCATCACCTTGCACTAACAAATTGGTATCTAGAGCTCTTGGTTTGATTCTGAAACTCTGGGAAACACGAGTGATAGTGAGCTGTGTGTTTGATTTTTGATTCTTGAACGAAAATCTGAAACAGAATCACACTGATTCTGTGGGTTTGGGAAACACTGAGTGAGAATCTGAGATCTGAGTTTTTCTGTGCAAAGGTTTAAGATGAATGGAGGCAGTAGTTTGAACACTAAACTTCCAGTCTTTGATGGTAAAAACTGGAACAGATGGAAGATACAAATGCGTGTGCTGTTTGGTGCTCAGGATGTTCTGGACCTTGTCTCTGAAGGTTATCTTCCAGTTGCAGCAGATGCTACTGAAGAACAGAAATCAGAAGAAAGAGCTACAAGGAAGAGGGATCAGAAAGCACTGTTCTTCATCCATCAGTGTGTGGATGAAAATGTGTTTGAGAAGATTGTTGATTCGACGACGTCGAAAGGGGCATGGGATATTCTGACCAGATGTTATGGTGGTGATGTATCAGTGAAGAAGGTAAAACTTCAGTCCCTGCGAAAACAATATGAAAATCTCAGCATGAAAAACAGTGAGAAAGTTTCTGAATACATTTCCAGATTGATTCTGATTACTAATGAAATGAAGGCTTGTGGAGAAACACTTTCTGAACAGGTAATCATAGAAAAAATTCTGAGGTCACTTACGCCTCAGTTTGATTACATTGTTGTTTCTATTGAACATTCTAAAAATCTGGAAACCATGAGAATAGAAGAGTTGCAAAGCAGTCTAGAAGCACAAGAGTTGCGTCTGACTGAAAGAACTTCTGAGAGGGAAGTGGAGCAAGCTCTGAAAGCTTCTTTTGTCAAGAAGGACCAGAAGCAGAATAGACATGGTGATAAATTCCAGAAGTCAGAAACCTCAACTTCTGATGAAAAGAAATATCAGAAGGGAAAGGAAAGGTATGACAAGAAGAAGGTTCAATGTTACTGCTGTAAACAGTTTGGGCATTTTGCCAGAGACTGTAGAAACAAAGGAAGAAAATCAGAAGAAGCAAATATAGCCAGAGAAGATTCTGATGATGAACCTGTGCTACTGATGGCTTCTAATTCTGATGGAAACTGTTCAGGAGATTGGTGGTATATGGACACTGGCTGTTCAAATCACTTGACTGGGAACAAACAATGGCTGACAGACTTTGACTCCAGAAGGAGAACAAAGATCAGATGTGCTGATGATAAGTACCTTAATGCAGAAGGTATGGGAAATGTCAGAGTCAGAGTAAAGAATGGAAGAAACATTCTGATCAAAGATGTCTGGTACGTTCCTGGAATTAAAAGCAATCTGATGAGTGTGGGTCAGCTTGTTGAGAAAGGTTTTTCAGTGGTTATGAAGGACAACCTCTTGACGTTGTACGATTCTAATCAGAAGATGATTATGAAGTCTGAGCAGGGAAGCAACAGAACATTCAAAGTGAATGTAGAAACTTCTGAAGCGGAGTGTCTCAGTGCAGAAGGCGCTGAAGTAGACAGTAAGTTGTGGCACAAGAGGTTGGGGCACTTGAACTATAGAAGCTTAGGGCATCTAAGTTCTAAGAAGCTCGTACATGGCATTTCGAAGATTGTGAAGCCTCAGAAGTCATGTGAGATATGCATGAAAGGCAAGCAGCCCAGATTGCCATTTGCGTCAGAAGTAGCCCCCAGAGCAAAACATGCTCTGGGAGTAGTACACTCTGATGTATGTGGACCATTTCCAGTAGCTTCACTTGGAGGAAACAAATATTTCGTGTCTTTTGTGGATGAGTTCACAAGAATGACTTGGGTAACACTCATCAAGTTCAAGCATGAAGTGTTTACAGAATTCCAGAAGTTCAAGGTGAAGGCTGAGAAGCAGAGTGGTCAGAAGCTGAAGATTCTGAGAACAGATGGTGGAGGTGAGTATAACTCTACAGAGTTCCAGAAGTTCTGTGAGAAGAATGGAATAGAACATGAGGTTACTGCTCCATATACTCCTCAGCACAACGGTCTTGCTGAAAGAAGAAACATAACTTTGCTTGATATGACCAGAAGTATGCTGAAAGAAAAGAAGTTACCTCACATGTTATGGGGAGAAGTTGTTGCCACATCAGCATATGTTCTGAATAGGTGTCCAACGAAGAAGCTAAAAGAAACTGTCCCTTTAGAAAAATGGACTGGAGACAAGCAGAGTGTTAGCCATCTGAAAGTATTTGGTTCTGTGTGCTACAAACACATTCCAGAGGCTAGAAGACGAAAACTGGATGATAGAAGCAAAACAATGTTACTGGTAGGGTACCACAGTACTGGTGCCTACAAGCTTTATTGTCCAGAAACCAACAAAGTTGAAATCAGCAGAGACGTCGTTGTGAAAGAGTCAGAAACATGGGATTGGAACAAGCTTCAATCAGATTCTGGTGTAGTGCCAACACCAGGGTTAGTTTCTGAAGACGAGTCAGAGTCAGAAGAAGAAGACTCTGAAGATGAGTCAGAATCTCAGGGAGATTCTGATAGTGGATCTGATTCTGATCCAGATTCTGATGATGATCCAGATTCTGATGATGATCCAGAATCTGGTGGTGATTTTACTTCTGGAAGGGAAAACTCTGAAGACATAGGGTCTGGAGAACAAATTTCCAGAAGTAACTCTGAAGGTGGTAATTCTGAAGGAAGTAGTTCTGGACAAGGTTCAGAAGCCAGTATTGTTCCGAATTCTGGAGAACCTTCAGAACAAGACCAGAGGCCACAGAGAATCAGACGAATACCAAATAAGTTTGCAGATTTTAGCATGTTGCATGATACTGAAGTAGATTCTGAAGGTGAAATCTTTCAGTGTGCCATGCTAGTAGATTCTGAACTAGTGGGTATTGAAGAAGCACTCAAGAAGAAAGTATGGCTGAATGCCATGAAAGAAGAACTTGAGGCAATTGAAAGAAACAAGACTTGGAAGCTGACAGAACTTCCAAAAGGCAAGAAAGCCATCAGCGTCAGATGGGTTTTCAAGCAGAAGCTAAAGCCAGATGGATCAATTGGCAAACATAAAGCGAGACTAGTGGCCAGAGGTTTTCTTCAGAAACCTGGACTAGATTATTTTGAGGTGTTTGCACCTGTAGCTAGACACGAAACAATCAGACTGGTGATTGCTTTAGCTGCAAACAGAAATTGGCCTTTGATACATCTGGATGTGAAGTCTGCATTTCTGAACGGTCCATTACAGGAAGAAGTTTATGTGTCACAACCTCCTGGATTTGTGAAAAAGAATCAGGAAGGGATGGTATACAGGTTAAGTAAAGCTCTGTATGGACTGAAGCAAGCGCCCAGAGCTTGGAATCTGAAGATTGATTCGTTTTTCAAGGAACAAGGGTTTCAGAAGTGTGAGATGGAGTATGGTGTTTATGTTCAGCATACTTCAGAAGGTAATATGATTCTGGTCTGTTTGTATGTTGATGACATATTACTCACAGGAAGTTCTGAACAAGAAACAGCTGAGTTCAAGAAAGTTCTGATGAAGGCGTTTGAGATGACAGATCTTGGAAAAATGAGTTTCTTTCTAGGGATGGAACTTATATACTCTGAGAAAGGAATCATTTTGCATCAGAAGAAGTATGAACTAGAGCTTCTGAAGAGATTTGAGCTAGCAAATTGCAAGATTGCTATAACACCTGCTGATACGAATCAGAAGTTGGACTCTGATTCTGATGGAGAGGATGTGGACGCTACAACCTTCAAACAGATGGTTGGTTCTCTGAGGTATTTATGCAATACCAGACCTGATATTTGTTATGCAGTTGGAATGGTCAGCAGATACATGAGCAAACCAAAGTGGTCTCATTACCAAGCTGCTGTCAGGATTCTGAGGTATATAAAAGGAACTCTGAATTATGGAGTGTTATTTCCTTCTGGAGGAAAGATCAAATCAGAACTTCTGAGTTATTCTGATTCTGATTGGTGTGGAGACAGAGTCGACAGAAGAAGCACTTCTGGGTATTTATTCAAGTTTCTAGGAGGTCCAATTTCTTGGTGTTCCAAGAAACAGCCTGTTGTGGCTCTGTCAACATGTGAAGCTGAATACATTGCTGGTGCTGTAGCCGCCTGTCAAGCAGTTTGGCTTCTGAATCTGCTGCATGATCTGAAGGTTGAAGTTGAGGAACCTCTAAAGCTGATGGTTGATAACAAGTCTGCAATTAATCTTGCAAAGAATCCAGTTCTACATGGCAGAAGCAAGCACATTGAGACGAAGTATCACTTTCTCAGAAGTCAAGTGCAGAAAGGAGTGCTAGAAGTTCTGCACTGTAGCACTCAGAAGCAGCTGGCAGATGTTCTGACCAAGGCAATAAAAACAGA